AAAACTGAACAGGATGTTGATGAAATATTTGTGAAGTATTGGAATTGAAAAGTATTATTAACTATTTTTGTTGTTTTTTTCATATTTTACTTATAGTTGTTCTATTAATATTTAACCCAACATATTTTGTATTAAAAAATGACATGACTGAAGTTTGATTTGTGTTAAGATTTACCAACATATATTTACATATTTTTTTTTTATATTTATACTAATAGCAAAGCAAATTCAGTTTGTATTTTGAGTATTTTGAGGATGGATAAATAATCTAGATGATCTTGCTATTGTCAAAATAATACTGCATGTAATATATGTACTGCACGACTGCACGTACATATTCACGAATTTATATAAAAATTAATGTGATTATGTGAGGGGAAATTACTATATATTTATATATCATTGGGATTAACAATTGGTGTGACTATGTTTATAACTAATATTGTGATTATATAAAGGGATTTTATTTATAAAAAAAATTGAGCCAAGTTAAAGTGTGATTTAAAAAAGGGAGCACTTATACAGGAGATAACTTTAGAGGGATCCACTATACTTGACATATAGGCTAATTTGTTGTGACATTATTTTGGATTCTAATTTGTCTTTGAAAAAGAAGAGCATTGGAGTTTCTTTTGAATCCTTGCCCATCACTATGGTTTCTTGTATTATGTTCTCTGTTGTCACTATTATAATCTAGTTACCTGTAAGACATATTTATCGTCTTATCACCTTTCTTCATAATCTTTTATAAGTTTCAACTATCAGAACCAGAGTTTTCTATTCTATTTGCTTTATTCTGTCTTTTTTCTCATTGATCCTATTTGTAATGGTTTACAAGAACCCCCTGCTTTTTGATTTTCTTCTATATTTTCTTTTATTATTATTTTATATATTTCTTTATTTAATTTGAATTCTATTCTGAAACCATGTGGGATTGTCAAGGATTATCAGAATAATCATTTAGTAACTTTATTAATAATATTATATTTCATATTCAATTTCGACAATCCGTAGATTAATGTTTATCATTAATATTATGTGAATAGAATTGTTTTTTATTTTCTTTTTATTTTATTTCTGTTTTTATATTTTATTTATTTTATTAATTCTTTTATTATGCCAAGCCCAAATTCAGATAAAAGAGTTTTAAGCCCTAAGTATTATTAAATGTTTATATATTTTATTATGTATTTTTACTTTTGTAATTTTATATAAATAAGGCATAAGAATAATAAAGAAAAGGATAGATTTCATTCCGCTCAAATAATTATTTATTTATTTATTAAATACTCTGTTTGACCGAATTGTCTCGATTTACTTTTCTTTACTCTTGTAATTATAAACGAGTTAGGACAACTCGTTACACTTGATAGTAACAGATTTTTGAATACTTTATAAACCTTATAGTTTATGTCTAATTGGATTTCCTGAAGATGAACGTCACCTACAAATTCTGATACTTTTGACAATGACGAACAAACTGAACCAACTAAACAACCACCTCCTTCCTCTCCAGCTCTAACTACTCTTTTTGCTGAATATACTTAACGGATTATAGCTGCAAGTGAAATAACTGAGAAACAACATGCACAACTTATCCATGAGTGATGACAACAATTAGCACAACAATTATAACAAGAACAAGGAGCACCTTCTAATTCACAACCTATCCCTGAAAATATTGAATTTATAATTCCCCTTGACAAGGACAACGAACAAACATTACAACAAGCTGTTACTTTATCCTTACAAGATTCAGCTGACGAAAACTTCACTGAATCTGAACCTATTCAACTTGACAACTAACTTGAAATTAATTTACCTGCAAACTTATCTCCTCCTCTTTTTACCACATTAAACATTTCTTCTACTATGGATACACAACAATTTCACACTCTTATGAATAACTTGACTGCTGGTTTCCAAAATCTTGAAACTACTTTTGCTGGTCAAAATCCTCCTCCTGCTCATACATTCCAAATTTCTGTTTCTATTCCTGTTTTCCGAAGAGAAACTAGTAAGAATGTTGCTGCTTGATTATAGCAAGTACAAAATATTTTTGAAGCACAAAGACTTGATAATGATACTGCTTGAATTCGATACGCTAGTACCAGCATGAAAGGTGCTATAGGAAATTGGTATATATAACAAATAACTGCACACTTACCTAATGCAGGATTACACTGGGCTGATTGGATTGCTTTTAAAACTGCTCTACAAGCTATTTTTCAACTGCCTAATTATCAACATCACCTCCGACAACAAATTAGACAG